TGCCTACAGTGGGAATAAGCTATGGAGATTCACCCATGCAAGCGCACAATTTAAAGAGATAAAGTTTTACCCCAGAATTTGAACTGGATTTGTGTAAATTACATTTGTCTTCTGTCTACTCTCTTGATTTTACCCTGGTGAAAATATATTCTGTGTGTTCAAACCCATACACAGCTTTCTTTTCAGGCTGAAAACTTCATTTTTCTCTTCTGCCTCCTTTAAGTTTTCAACATCAATAGATGCTAAATGCTAAAACGGAGAGCTTTATTCCACCTCTTAACTAGCTTCTACAGCACTAACTTTCAGGTCATTTATACATGTGCTCTGGGAGTGAAGAGGGGGAAGGCATGGCTTCCCCCTCTCAGAGCCGCTCTAATTAAAGCAGCCCAGGCATCACGTGCATCAGCATCCCCGCGCTGAAATATGGCGGCATGGGCGCTTTAACTAAAGCTCATCAAGTGAGCTTTAGTTAAAGCACCCCCGCTGCCATTTTTCAGTGCTGGGATGAGGATGCATGTGATGCTGAAGTCTGCTGGAGCACAGTAATTGCCACGCTCCAGCAGACTATTATTTGAGTCTGCTCCAACAAGCTGTACTTACAGCACCTTGTGACCCCAAAGCAGACTCTTCACAATCTCTGACCTTGCACTTCATTTAGCAGTCTTCATATTACAAATAAAACATTTATAATAGTGACAAATGCAAAAAGACAGACACCAGCCACCTGATTTTTTTAGTTACTTTTTACTAATTCTATTTATATGAAAGCTATAGAGGTGCACCGATACAATGGTCCGATATCAGATTGGCACCAATATAAAGAAAATGTACTGTATCAGAAACTGGCCTGATGCGGCTGATAATTTGGCCAACAAATGCCCGTGCATGTGTGCAGCGGCCGCACAGTAGGTAGGCGGTGAGGAGCACAGCCCAGCAACGTGAAGAGCTGTGTGCAGCTGGTAAGGCTGTTGCAGTGGAAGGGGAGGGAAAGGGCACGGGGTGGCAGATCAAGGTCCCCGCAGTGAGGGAGGGAGTGGGGCTGCGGCTGCCCAGCCAGGGCAGAGTGTGGCACAGGACAGAGCTGCAGCTTGTCTGGGGGGGCACGCGGAGGGGCGGCAGCTCCTGCCACTGCACACAACATGGGAGGGCATGGGGTGGGGGGGCGTGTGCATGGGGGATGGTCCTGGGCTGGGGCTGCACTTGGGGTGGGCGATGGTGGTGCTGGGAGGGGGCAATGGCAAATTTTGGGCTGGTTGCAGCTCCCGCCCCCATGTAGCCCCCTCCCAGTGCTGCCACCTCTCACCTTGAGTGCACCCCAGCTAGGAAGAGCCCAGCACCGCCTCAGCCCCAGGCAACAGCTGCAGCCGCCGCAGCCTCCCTGTGCCTGCTGGGGTGCACGCAGCAGCAGGGGCTACTGCACCCCTCCCCGTGCCCCCCAGATGAGCCATGGCTCTGTCCTGCAACCCACCCTGGCTGGGCAGCGCCTGCCGCAGCCCCATGCCTTCCTCACTACAGGGGCCTTGATCTGCCCCACCCACGCCTCTTCCCTCCCGCCTCTCCTACCATAACAGACTTACCAGCTGCACACAGATCTTCAAGCTGCCAGGCTGTTTATTGGAAATCAGATTGGTATTGGCTGATATGCCTCCTTAAACCCTGGCTATCTGTATCACCCCCCAAAATCTCTTATTGGTGCACCCCTAATCAAAGCATGCCCTTTAAATCAGCAATTTGTAAACTGCATCCCCACTGACCGCAGCAGCAGGCTGTGGAAACAATTACTGGTGGCTTGCAGAGTGCTGGCTAGTTCATTTTTCTTAGCTGAGAAAAACATAACAGTTGGGAGGTGATGATGAAATAAAGAGGTAATACACAGTGAAGTTCCCCCCCATCCTCCAAGAAAACTCATCCCTTACTACACAAATACTTTTCCAATATCACTTCACTGTATGAAAACTCCTGGAGTCACCACGGAGGTGTCATATGATTGCAAATGAGAAGAGAGATGCCTTAAAGATAGGGATCTCTATTACTATTTTGTCCACACTGACTTGGCATGCCCTGATTTTTTTTGTTTTTAATGTCCTCATTTCATTTTTTTCTCCACCCTGTTAATCCAGTTCGATTTTGCTAATTGCCCACAGAGGACAACAGTGAAACTACTATTTTACAATGGTGTATAAGGCACAGATTAGCAGAGAGTTTTTCACGGTGAACTCTGTTCATTTTAACCATTTTAGATATTATTAGTATTTATAATTTATTAGAAATAATTTTCAGATTATTCTCGTCCATTTACAAACATTTACAGGAGGGTCCAGACCTTCCACTTTTAATAATGAAGTTGACCAATTTTGCTCGATTCACTATCACTTTTTAATATTTCGGCCAACCACAGTAATGATCGTTAACAGTCAGGATTAAAACCATCTCTTAAGAAATTAATAAAATGGTAACATTAAAAACATGCAGCACGTTTACAACATGACAAAAAGATTTCTAGGGATCTCTAGAAAGCTTATTAAATGCTGATTTAATACTCGCTAGCATTGATTATTTTAGTTGACACCTTGTGATCATTAATCTCCATCCTACTCCAATTCTTCACCTGTTTTTCATTCAATGAATTATACAGAGCTCTTGCCTGTGGCAGCAACCTGCACTGGATGATATGATTTATATTTAGGAAGTTCCTTCGAGACCAGTGTTGCCATGTTACTTGGTCTCAACATGGCAACATGCAACACAGACACAGTACCAACATCCCAGTGACAATACAAGCCTTCCTGAAGCAAGCTGTGATAACAGACAGGTACAACTTTGTGAACAAACCAGTACCCCTCTTTTCAGTTTCCTTACCTGCAACAAAGATACTTAGCAAAAATAAAATTGCCCTGGCTGGGCCAGAAACTGGAAAGCAAACTATGCTTTGTTTTATTTTAAATAGGATGATTTTTTTCTAGCTGGGCTGAATTGTCATATAACACAACCCTAGCACTTAGTACTTCAATGATTAAATCAACTAGATGGTTTTACCTGATCTAAAAAAAAAAAGTTTACTTCTTCACAGGAAGCTGTGTTGAGGTCACTCATACAGTCAGACAGCGTTAGGGTTTTATTACTCACTTGAAAAGGTATTGCTTCATCTTCTGTAGGCATAATATTCATTAGAAACACAAAGAACCATACACAGCAGCTGTAAGCAGAAAGGGGAACTGGGAAGCCAGATTTCTGGAGTCGAACTAACTCCTGGCTTTGGGCCAGCAGAAGCTACTCAGAAAACAGAAATGCTGAACACAGCTTGTTGCAGAAATCAGGCCTACAGGCAAGCAAGAGGCTATAAGCCCTCTTGTCAACAATAGGCAAATAAATATGGCAGTCAAACGCTGATTAACTGTCAGTGCTGTAGTAATTTGAACACAGCAAAATTACAGAGCGCACTGGTATGAGTAAGAGACAGGAAAGCAACTCCTAGAAGATGCAAGTTAACAACTCAAAAAATCACTGCCCAACGCATCTTGCTGCCAAGAATTTTCTCCTGATATTTATTCCAGCTTTATTATACATTTCATTCAATTTTTCCTAGCTCGTGTCCCCATGTATTGCATTACATGGCTACTCTCCTTGCTTATTACTCACTCCTCAAACATCTGCTGTTATAGACCCTCCAACTTGGCTGTTGCACAGCCAAGATAAAGATGTTTAGCGTATCTGTTCAATCATTTCTTTCTTAACCATTATTCTCTTTGGAACTTTCTTTGATTTGTCAATATTTTCTCTCTCTTTTTTTTTTTTTTTTTTTTTTTTAAAATTTTTTCCCCCTTTTTTTTTTTTTTTTTTTAAATTTTTCCCCCTTTTTTTTTTTTTTTTTTTAAATTTTTCCCCCTTTTTTTTTTTTTTTTTTTAAACTAAAGTGACAGTCGCAACCTAATAATATTCCAGGTGCAAATACACCAGAGCATTTTCACTTTGAGAGAAATTATCACCTTTCTCTACCCTGGGATATTATGCCAATAAGTCCCATGGGCTTGTCTTCAATTAGACCACATTATTAGATCTCCCCCATGGAGCTTTTTATCCATAGACTGTGGGTATTTCTGATCATTTTTTAGCCACGTACCTTAGATACATCTACCTTATATTTCATTATCATCCCCAGGATGACTTATCAATACGGGTCTACCTAACTCAAAGAGGTAGGCGGCCGATTTTGCAAGGAGATCGCAGGGCCAGCCTCCACATTCACCAGCTGATCATGGCAAATTTCTCCACCTCCCCACCATGCCTCTGGCTAAAGGGCCATGGTGGCCCCACCCATCACCACTGACTGGTTGCAAGGGCTGTCCATCATGCAGACCTGCCCCTATTGGCTGTGAGGGGTGGGACCACATGACAGAGCCCTCTCAACCAATCAGCAGTGAGGGGTGGCAGGCATCTTCGGCTGCCCTTTGTGCAGACAGTCCCTTCTCCCTTCCCCACCCCAGCGGGCTCTGCAGGTGGGCCAGTGTCACAAGACTGCTGGCTCCCTCTGGGGAGCCAGCACTTTATTTTCAGTAAGTTGGATTTTGCGGGCAATGCTGGATTTTGTGATTCCCATGAAATCCATGAAATTACAATTTCAGTAGGTCCCTACTTATCAAGAGGGAGACATTTAGACTAATACGTATATATTTAGTTTGTAATGTCCACTGCAATACATACTGGTTATTAGAAGGTAGCCCTTTTAGGCAACTTAGTATCATTTGCAGCACGATTCCAAGCAACTCGTCATTAACATGAAAAACTTGAATTTTCACGAAGACAAGTTTCATGGTGGACAAAACTGAACAATGAGCCAGAAGCATGTAGCCAATAGTTTAATATTCACCCTGCTTAGGAATGCAGCAGCACTTAGTGTATTAACATACCCAGAATATTAGTGAGGCTTTTTGTATACTTAGTTGGGTAATTGTTCACTTCTACATTGCATTTACATATACAATACAAATACATTTACTGACCTGGGGAATGCTGGGAAGTTGCAAGTGAGGTCATGGAATTAGAGAGGTTAAGGTTAGCAGTAATACTAAGCTGGCTCTGCACTGCAGGAGGATATGGAGATGTAGGGGTCAACAGGGATTCCTCGCTGACTTCCTCATCAATTCCAGGCAAATAGGTGTCAATCAAGGCATCAAGAAACTTCACTATAAGCTCAGCATAGTCTGGGATTTGTGTTTGCTGTGGGGGGAAAAAAAACAGATCTGTTCACTCTTATTTTCTACTTCTAAAAATAAGAGTTTTGCCTTCAAATATTTTTTTGGGCTAAACTTTTGTCTATAAAATACTTTTAAGCCCTTTATGTGGACACCTGTGAGGACACACTTTGAAATTAACCTGGAACTAAATTAATGTGAACACTAAAGGTGACCTGTAGGAACAATCTGAGCAGTATGAAATACTTCATTGGCAGGTGGTAAGCACTCATTTTGAAATGTCCTTTTCAAGATGAACCGCTGTGGCTAACTCTGAAGAACGAATTATGAAAATCATTACCTGTACCTTTGAGCCTAACATCCAGTACACTACCCAATCTAGACATCGTGTTACACTGATTTGATAGAACAAACTGTGGTATGGATGGTTGGTATTCAAGTGGCTAATGTATTCTGTGCATAATGTGAAATTTATCATTATACATTTACTGCTGTATCGATTTCCTCATTACTGTAGAGCCATGCAATACATTTAATAAACTAGAGATGTGTTGAATAAGACCATTTGTCAAGATGCCCTTTAATGAGACGGGGACTACTGCAAGGGGGTATTTACCTACTTGACTTGTTTCACTTGATACAGATAATTTGACAGTACGTACCCACTATATTTTTACTACCTATTTATTGAATCTTTCAAGATTTGTGAAGTGAGCCAGAGTGATATTTATTACTTCAGCTATAAACCTAAGCCCAGTGGGTTAATTCTCTCTTTTATCAACATTATTTTTTTTACACTTACAGCGCTCTGTACAAAAAATAAAAGCAAGATGCTCAGGATCTCACCTCTCATTCTTACCTTAGAAAACGGTCCAGCAAACCTCCACAACCCGTTAAATCCAAAACCTGTGACAACAAATAACATTACCACTGCAGCATAGGCCTTTCACACACACACACACACACACACACACACACACACACACACACACACACACACACACACACGTAAGCAAATCCAAGTGATTGATTCGAATATTTCCAAATTTTTGTTTCTTATGGAGTGTTCACGTGTGTACACACACACACACACACACACACACACTCCACAAGAAACAAAAATTAGGAAATCTATGGAATCATTCACTTGCTTACACGGTGACATAAAATACTGTGAGGCAAATATAACAAAACCTTCCAAAATCTAATATCCAAATTATGTGTTTAACATCTGAACTATAAAACTATTGAGGTTTTTTATTACATATACATCTGAAGTATAATAGATTAATCCAAAAACTCATATTTGGAAGGGGACACTGTCATGTTCAACCTTAAGCATGAGTAACATTTGCAAAAGAGCAAAGAGACAAACCTAAACTCCATTTTCAAGAATAATGAACTTTCAGTCAGTCTAAATGATTGAGACTTAGGCTAAAGGTCATATTTAAAACGGAGTTTAGACACAAAGAGCCTCAAGTCATCCTTGATAATGGAAATATGGAGGCTCTTTAAAATGATAACTTTAACATACATTTGGATCCACTAGGTTACTGGGTTTCAATGTATTTTTAGTTCATTTCACTTACTGTTCATACATGTGGCTGGCCCAATACTCTTAACATTGACAGGCAAATACAGAACGTCATTTTTTACTTTATCCCTTTAACAGTGAACTGTTTTTTAAACAACTGACTACATTTTTGGTAACTGTATCTGTGAAACGAAGGAAAAAACACCTAATGATTCTGGGTCTAACTGTTTTGCTAAGGTAGTAGTAGTCTTCAACCAGATGTATTTGTAAAAGTAAAATACCAGCTACCTTTCTGACATACAAGTACAGAGGGGTTTAAAAAAAAAAGAAAAAGTAGAACAATATTTACTTTGTAGGTAAGAAGTTTGGTATTGAGGTGGAGACTCTTCATGGTAGACAACACTCTGAACTATCCCATGAATTGGATTCAACAAATTTGGATCTTGGCACAGCGACAAAAGAGTATTGATCTTGGAGTCCAATAAATTGTGCCTACAGAAAACAGCAGTTTTAATGTTGCTTATTAAACTGAAGTTAGATAATGGACTAGGTTCATTTAACAAAACTGTTGTGGTGGGATTTTCAAAAGTGCCCAAGTGATGGAGGGGGTAGAGTACCATTCCTAGGGCTTTCCCTGAGATGCGCTCCCTGAAGTCATGCAGGCGTTTCTGAAAATCCTGGTCATAGACAACAAATCATGTAACCCTTTTTTCTTTAATTAACATTTAACAAATTATTTTAAAACGCAGAAAAACAAATATTTGAATGTCAGCTGAAAAATGCTGATCAAATGAATGACCCAAACTGCAGGCTTTGAGGCTGCGATTTTCAAAGGAGCTTCAGAGATGCTGGCTCCTCTGTCTCAGGCTCCACAGAAAATGCCAACTTTAACATACCTGTTGTGTATATCTCATACAATAACATGTCTTGCATCTTTAGTGACAGTAAAGTTAGCGTATGTGCATATAATAGAGGATGGAAAAACTAGTGCTGGAAACGCCACTCCATGATTCATCCACCAAAAAAAAACAAACCTATCGCTGCCCAGGTTTTAGTACAAGCAGCGAAGCTTTCCCCACTTCAGCCCTTTCAGAGCCTGGAGGGATTCCCACTATGGGGTAGGGAGCAATTTACTCCATCCTTACTTCTGACAGTACGGGGTGCTTATTGCTGACAGCCCTGATTTCCCCAACTTGCAAAACTCATTTGCCTTCAGCCTTTCTTGTGAAACACACACACAGGCAGATGTATTGTCCTTTTTAGAATATGCACAGTTAAACTGAGAAAACAGACACACATTACACTGCTTCTCCTAAACGTCACTGGCTCCACAGAGACAATACTAGGCTTAACTCATCAAATACACTAAGCAAACACTCTGTATGTGTAACTAAATAGAAGGAACTAAACTTGGTCCATATTTTAAATATCTGTTTTGACAGGTGACTTAGACACCTGAAAATATTGTTTACTTGCTGGGTGGGGAAAAAAAAATAAATAACTTAAGCAGCAAAGTATAATGCTTTATTTTGTAATAACTAACTAATGCAGAGGCCAGCAACCCCCAGCACACTTGCCAGTGTGGCAAAGGCATTTTGCTTGGCACATGCTCTCGGGTGTACAGTGGGCAAGGGGTCAGAACTGTGCTGCCACAACAAGTATCAGGTGCCTCGCAGCTCCCTGACCATCTGCCTGAAGGCATGTGTGCACCCACAGTCAGCAAGGAGTCAGGCTGGGGCTCCACAGACCTCAGTGCAGCTGCTTGCAGCCTCCTAGCTGCTTGCCACAGCCAGCCTAAGCTCTGGGCAGGCCCCTGCTGCTTGGCACAGAGCCTGGGCTGCTCACAGCAGGCAGTGGGGACACTGCAAGCTGCTGCACTGGGGGCTGCAGAGCCCTGGCCCAGCTCATTGGTGGCAGTGGGTGCATGGACACCCTGAGGCAGACGGCAGGGAAGGAGCCACAGCTGTGATACCACAACAAGGATCAGGCCCCTTGGCTGCTCCACCATCTGCCCCTGGCACACCAACAACTTACAAGTCAAGGCTGGGGTGCTTTTGGCACTCTGCCCAAAAATGCTGCAGACCCCTGGACTAATGCACTGTGCCTATGTAAACATAAGCCCCGACACTTAAATGAAAATGGACACTTCTTGGGTAGCAAATACAGATAATTTAGCAGCTCGGTTGTCTCTAATAGCTGCACTGAATGCTGGAAGCTTGGGGTAAAGTCTGGAAGAAACTAAGGGCCTATTAACTCAAATGGCAAACTGTAAGGTATGGTCAGCATCAATGCATGTGTCTCCAATACTGTGAAAAAGTGACTACTGTGAAAGACTGCAACAGGTGATAATTCAAGTTCCCTGGCCTTTGGTCTCTCTGTGGAAACCATCACCAAAACTGCTTATTAGTACCAATGGCATCAGCTATTTACAACTCAAAAAAAATACTTTTCTGATAAGAATACTACAATACATGGATCACTAAAAGGGACCAGCCTTCAGCACCTACAGGTCTTGGCTGGATTTGAACTTGGCTGCTAGATGTAAAAAATGTTATATTAAATTGAGTTTTAGATACTTACACAACTGGAAAGACCTTTGGGAAGACAACACTGGCTTCCGCTAAATACTCATAAAGAATTCGCTGGTCAAATTCATCTGTAGTGTACTTTACTAAGGTTGCCTGCAATAACACAAAGGGGGGGAGCGTGAAGAAAAAAAGAAAAAATAAATAATCAGAGAGCTTCTATTCATAGTTAATTTTTAAAAGAAAGATTCCAAATGTTGCAGCACTGCCTTTTCATTAACAGCATTACAATAGATGATCACACAGATATTTGACCCGGGGGGTCAAATTATTCAATATGTATGACTACGTATGGCAAAACCAGCAGAGCTTGCCATAATTATACACCTGTTCTCCTGAAAACAAGTGAACAGTTTACCTCATTTGGAGACAACTTTGACAAATATTGTTGAACCAATTTTAAAAATGAGATTTATTAAAACTTGCAACAGTTTCAATGAGATAAAAACATTTAAGCAAAAATCTTGAAGAAGCCCCCCATAATTAGGTTCTATACATGGAAAATTATGAATATTGTTATAATTTGCCATGCACGTGTGGCGGGTGCAGAGATCCCACCTCAGGAAAACAGCTGGGTATTTGTATCCCACTGCTATTTCCACCACGTGAGGCGGGCCAGTAGGGGG